GGGTGATACCGTCGCCAACGGGGAGCATGCAGATCTCGATCCTGGGATCAGCGGCCAGGGCTTTGTTGAGCTCCAAGACGAAGTCCCTGTAGTACCTCACGTACTTCCTCATTGGAGCATCTGGTGGGGCCACCACGGAGCCGTTCCATAGGGTGTTGTCGTACCCAATCAATCCCCCAACCTTGACCAACTCGATTATCCTCTTGTGGTAGTTGAGATAGTTGTCCTTGTCAGCATCCACGAAGATGAAATCAAAACTTCCATGGTTCTTGTCCTGCCCCCATGCATTACAGGTTAAAATATAAAAAGCAAATGTCAGGTCAGGTTGCTTCCATGTTGGTTAAAAAGCATCAATTAAAAAACGAAAAGTTGATTGATCCGCACTATGAACATTAAACACCCCCCCCCCCCCCCCCCAAAAAAAAAAAAAAAAAAGTGGTTGGTGCCTTGGTGGTGTTATAGGCCTTACATCTTCAATCAACTCATCAAGCACTGGCAAAGCAGGGCCTTCTCTGAAGTCAATTTTATGGGACACACCAGCCTTTTCGATCACGGGCAGACCCAATTCGTAGTTTTCTCTGTTAATATCCATGGCCAATATCTGCAATAATCAGCAGTAAAAGTCAAAACGAATCATTCATTAGATTTCTCGGATCACATCAAGTAAATCAGGTGAATACCAAATCGTACTTCAAAGTCGATGGAAGCGTTAAAAGTGTTAGATGTTTTTAAATTCCTTTCAAATTAGGGTGCTCGAGATAAGATCATCTGCCCTATCAAAATTTGGCACAAAATTGGATGACTAAAAGAGAATATTTGAATTCTTTGCCTCAGGCTGAACAGGGCTGCCCATCAGATTGAATTAATAGATTCAACTTGCAACTGAGACAAGACTAGCAAGCAAGACTACCTTCCCATCTTCTGGAAGAGCGAGAGCTGTAGCCAGAAGTGAGTAACCAGTGTAAACTCCAATCTCCATGGTTTTCTTGGCATTGATCAACTTGATAATCATGTTCAAGAACTGCCCTTCATCAGCAGATGTAGTCATAATATTCCTGTTTCCGTGATACCAATATGAATGCATTAGCATGACATCAAGAAAATGCACGAGGACTAGTATATGCATTGATGTTGTAGGAATCAGCGGTCAAGACTCACCATGGATGCTTTGCTGTCAGTTCTCTCAGCTCTTTCATGGGCTCTGGCTCTCTTGGATACACGCTGGTTTCCAGGATGTACTGCAAGAGGGGATAAAAAAACCAACGAATCAAATCAGGGCATGTCATCTTTTGACTCAAAGAAATGAATGGTCTTCAACTTCTGGCAAGCAAACGTAACAATAGAGCAGTAGTCATAGGCATAATTACCTGGTAGAGTGCATCACTTTGCAGAAGGCTTTTATGGCCTACTTCTTGATGCCTGAGATTTTGGCTATCCTTTCCTTCTCCATTCTGGGCCATAATTGTTGGTTGGAGATTAGAATTCTGGGGCTTTTTTTCTTTCTTTCTCTTTTAGTTTGAGGGAGCTTTGGACAGACAATGGTGATATCCGCGAAGCTGAGAATGGAAAGGGAGGAGGTGCAGAATATATACAACTCCAGAAGTCCGGTTCGGACCGGTGATGTTTCGGTTCAGGAGTGGTAGCGCACGCCAAACCGAGTCGGGGCCTTGCGAGGGTTGGTGAGGTAGGCCAATGAGTGTGACTGGACCCCCACGCCCACTATTGGACTTTTCTCTGTACGGGGTGGGCAAGAGATCAGTTTTTCTTAGTATTTCTTATTTTTCGTAAAAAAAGAGGATAATTAATCACTACGAAAGTTGTTGGGCGGGCCCTGCATTTGACGAAGTGGCGACAATCCATAGATCGGGGACAGTATATTTCGCTTCCAACCCTAAGATGAATTGGACAGCTTCAAATTTATCTTTTCCCATCCCAAGGACAAGGAATTCTACCAGGTTTTTCTTGTTTCTTTTTTTTCCTTTGGCGCTTTTTTAATTGTTCTAACTCCTCACTAGATGGTGTTGCGGTAACAATCATAAAACTATCAAGTCACATATCAAGTTATATATTATTATCAAGTCATCATAAACACATTTTTTAATCCATCGTTTTATATTTTCAATCATGTTTTATCTCATATATATCACATCACAAAAAATACTACAGTAATTATTTTAAATAATACTTTGTCCAAACAAACCCAACTTGAAGAATGCTGGGGGTGGGTGGATCGGCTAAGAAATTCCACGCTCGGGTTGGGGCCTTTGGGCATGGAACGTGGCAGGAGAATGCGACAGCCGGAGGACAACGGTGGTTGGTGAGGAGTTGGTGAAAACTGAAATTAATCTCCCTTTTTGGTCCTTTTTTTTTTTTTTTTCCTTTTCCTCTTAAAAGTTGGTGAAACTAAACTGCTTCCACGAAAGGGGTGGGAGTTGGTGGCCACCGGCTCGCCACCACATACTATGATCCATAAAGGAAAAATCAAATAATCATTTTCACATCCTTGCGTGTGAGTCGTGACAGATAATAATTGGCTTTAAACTTGATCCAACAAACTTTAATCTGTGTCTCCAGTTCAACCACTCTTCCACTGTTATGTGGTGTTAAAGCAATATAATACGATATTAACAGAGCCTTGTTTAGATCAACACAGCATTCTCTATCTTACGACAATAATAGAACATATATTTTTATTAGCGAGAATCCAAAAAGTCTTTTTTTAAAAAAAAAACTAAAAGAAAAATATTCGTTAAGAAAATTAGAGAAAAGTTATTTGAAAGAAAAAAGGAAAATGAATACCACCATTCTGAACCTGGTAATGTCCATTAATCATTTGCATTCAAAAATTTTATAAATTGGTATGTGGCTTATCCTAATAAGGCTTTGACACGTATGCCTTCAGACACGCCTGCGTAAGCAAAAAACTCGAGACATTTGTCTTGAGATGCTAAGACTGATGATGACTTGATTGATTAGAACCTGCTTATTTTCCAACAACGTTTGCATGTATAACTCTAAATCAAGCATTAGCGCAGAGTAATTGCTTCATCGGGTACCATTGAATGGGTCAATGACGGTAACTATACCAAAAAAATCATCTGGAAGTCCGAATTATTCAACGCAAGAACGTCCAGTGCTCTGACAAAATTAATAAAAAAATTAAAATACATATATAGGCACCTTTTTTTTTTTTTGTAATAATATGTAAGCACCAGTGAGTGTCACACGATTTATGATACAAATGAATATTTTGATTAGGACTGCAAACGAATCAAACTACTCATAAATCGATTCAATCAAAACTCAACTCAATAGCAATCAGCATCGAGGTCGAACCAATCAATTCGATCTATCGAACTCGAGTTGAACATAGAAAAACTCAACTCATTAGTTTGTGAACCAACTCGATTATATACATGTATTTTTATTTTTATTTTAATAGTGAAATTACATATATATTCATAATATTTTATTAGTTATTAAGGAAAAATGAACATTTTATTCAGTTTTTAAAACTAAAACAATTTTTTTAAATTTTTTTAAGTTCGAGTAGGCTCGAATTTTAGGTTGAATTCGAATTCGAGTTTTACATTGAAAACTCGTCGAGCTCAAACTCAAGTTTGAGTTTGATAAAATTGAATTAAGACTCGACTTGATTAGGATAAAACTCAATTCGATTAGACTTATTTGCAGCCTTATCCATGATTAATCATTCAACCACAAATTTTTTTCTTTTTCTTTTTCTTTTTGAAAATCAGCTATTCAAATTAAAATTGAAGTGGCGTGGTTATGATCCTCCTCTTTTATGCTACTTCACAGTGGAACGGAGTCGTAAAATTTTGCCATCTCTTATATTGAAAGAAATATGAATTATCCCATCGCCAATTCTTAGTAAGTTTAGAAACACCCATTCCCCCTTCCCCCCCCCCCCCCACCCAGAAAAAAAAAAAAAAAAACCCTACAAGTAAGCACAGAACAAAATTAAAACTCAAGAAAGATCGAAAAGATGTGACAAGGTTTTTTGTTGAGTGAATGACCAAAAATGTCACTAAATTATTATGGTATTGTTACTCATTAAACTTTTTTAATGGCCACAAAAATCACAAAATTGGCAAAAATAGGTCATCAAGGTCATTTTGTCAAATTCTATCAACAAAACAATCGATAAATCATTGAAACTCGAAGACTTGTTTGGCAAGAAGACCTTTGATAACCCATTGTTTTATTAGTAAAATTTAGTAAAATGACCTCATTGGTCCGTATATTCCCGTTTAATGACCATTGTGATCATAAAAATGGTTTGATAATTGATCAATGCCATTATTAGTAGTTTAGTACTAATTTTTTGGGCCATTCATTCATTTTTTTTTTTCGTTGAAGGAAAGACGTGGCGAGGTTGGTTTGGATGGCCGACTTTTTGTCGTCAACTGCTTTATGATTTTACAGGCTAAATTCGAGAACGACTTCAACCTCAAAAATCATCAGTTCGAATGGGGTGGTATTGGTGGACATCACCTGCCAATGAATTGACTTGTTTATGCTCTTTGACTATTGTTTATCTTGCAAACGTTTTTGAGTCCTGAACTCTTTACTCTTGGTCTCACTGTAACGCTGTTCTTTCCATTTTACCATCAATTACAGGAGAAAATATGAGATTCTATCGCAAAACCAGGGGGGAAAAAAAGAGGTTTGTTCTTTTTGAGTTTGCCCAACATGGTTAAATGATAAAAGGTGCTTTTAACTTCTTAGTTCTATTGTAACAGTCAGAACCCTCAATCAACAACTTAACTCATTTGAATTGCTATTTTTTGGCGCTTTTTGGAGGAAAATGTAATGTAGTGAATTAATTAATATATATGAGATAAAATGTGATTGAAAAATGTGTTCAAAAAAATTTAAAAATTTTTTGGAGGAAAATGCTTCTATAAATGCTTTTCTTAAATTTAATTTTTGGAACTGCACGCATTTCATTTGCGAAGCACAGAGATATTTCCGAAAACTTCACTCTCTAAACAAGATGTTTACATTTCATCATTCCCTTATGAATGAATTACTATCTCATCATATATTAGCCAATTTTCATGGCAATCGATGTTATACCAGCTTATTCACAGAACCAAATGCAAGTTCTCTAACATGTCTAATCTCATTTTCTCAAATTTCCTGTGAAAGATAGTTCATTGCTTTCCCTTTTCCTCCTGCCACCAATGGTCAGGATCAACTAATGTAACCCAAGCAGCGGATAAACTCTTGCAGCAATCTGGGTCAAGAAGGTTGTATTAAGAACATTGATCTGAGGATTTATTTAAGTTCCTTGCACAAAACAGGAGTGGATACACACCAAGAAACCTAGCTTTCCTTTTAGCTGCCGTAGTAAACATCTCTCTTCAATGTGAGATCACAAGAAGAAAGAGTGCCGAAGGAGCTGGTCCATCATTTAAAGATTCTCTCCCTTTCAAGAGAATAATAAGTAAAGAGAATCTGCAGTTGAAGCAGCTGATTTGCTGTCATTTGAAATTGGAAGTAAAATCAAATACTACAGTGGTAAATTACATACCGACGCTAGGCAATAATAATAGCAGGCGCAAAAACAGGTTCCCCTAAGTCTTATTCTAACAATTGCACAATAAATGCTTGGAAAAGTTGGAATCCAAAATCTGTTGTACGTTAGATGCTTTGAGTGATTCTGGCGCTTTACTCTGGAAGACAGAATTTCCAACGTGTAAGAAATGGTTGAATGAAAAATGTCCAGAAAGCTTACCAAGAATGATATGAGTAACCATAACTCCTCTCAGACAGTAGGATCACCCCATCAACAGGCCATAATTCTGCTCAGCACCAAGGCTCTATAGACGACTTCTGTTGTAGGTGATGCTTCAGTAGTTGCGGTAAGTAAGTTGCTCGGTACCTAAAAGATAACAAGCACAGTAGACACAATGTATATTTGGTAGATGCAACAATCTGAGAATTTGCCCCTTCCTTTTTTTTGTTTTCATTTACCACTCAGATTGATCCACTGAATGCAAGATATATATGCATGATCATTGCAGAGGGGAACCTAACCTAACGAACTGCACACCTTCTACTTAAAACAAGTCATGTGGAGCATCATTAAACAGACTGACAGTTCAGGGATGACCGTATCGGAGCCAAAACTAGTTCAAGATAAGGATCAGAAATGTAGCATTTTTCCACATAATGAAGTAATAGGCTGAAATATCAACGCAAGTTAACTCTGAGATCCGAGAATTCTATGCTGTCCAAACTGTAAACTATGCAAGTAACATTGCAACATGTCTCATGCTCAACCATTTTGCGCCAGTTCAAATGCAAGTAATCCAGATATAGCAAAAAGGTTTCATTCCTCCCCAGGGCTACGTCACTTCAGCTTGAAATTGCAGGAAATTATACAACCAGTTCTCAAATGCAATCAGTCGGATGGCACTCAAGTGAATCTGCCTTCAATTGCAGTTAATTTCAGCTAAAAGTTGGAACTTTCACTTTGAAAAGTTGCAAAACTACACTTCCTCAAGTTTTAGCAAAGCACGTTAACTTCATTAAAAAAAAAAAAATTCAATTAGATGTCAGTGCTCGATGATAAAAATTTTAATGGAGATTGGCCACACGAAGACTTGCAGCTCAACTATAACAAAAAGGAATAGCCAAACAAATGCATCACTTGAATCTTGAGCTTCACAACATCTCGCTCATTCATTTAATTTCAATCCAAACATCACGGTTAAAGCAACTGCTTGGAAGGATAAAGACACATATAGTTTCCTGACTGGAAGGAGTAGTGAACAGCAGTGTTCTAATACACCTCAATTAGCAATGAATATGAACTGTAGTAAAGTCAGCCACATATTCACCCAGATTTCTCCTACTAAGGTAACATTGTTCATGCATACCAAGGGTAAGAAAGGGGATTTTATTAGCACCAAAAGCAACTAAGAATACGCAATGCTTCTCATAATAGTCAAGGTCATGGAGGTAAACTAATTGAACTTGGTAATTAATAACACCTAATAGGTGATACTCACATTCAGAGATGATAAGAAAAAACAAAAAAAAAAAAATCATTACAGCCTTAACAGCAAGAGACCTAGGTATGAAAACAATATTTAGAAAAATAACATTCAGAAAAAATTAGATTTTATTTACATTAAAAAAAAGTATCTGTTGAATTAAACCAAGTTGAGCGACAAAAAATGTGATCATTTTATACAGACTATGCGTACCCCCTACTTTCTAATAAGAAAGGAAGAAGGAACAAAAAACTGTGCTTAGCTACGTCCCACAAAATTGTTGACCGCAGTCCAATTAACAGCCCTTTTCTATATGATCTCCCTTCGTTGCTGCCTTAATGTGATCAATCTTTCAGTCTTCCTACATAGTCCAATAAGATTAAACTCTCTTCGATATAGTGGAGAGTGCAGTTCTTATAGCAGACCCCTTCTCATTCAAATTTTCATCCAAAGTATAATCAAAGCTCTGATCATCCACCCTAAATTCACTAACTTCATCACAAAAAGCTGAATAATCCTCCCTAGCAAGCAACATATTGTGAAGAATAGAGCAAGCACCAATGTTAGCTACTGCTGTCTTAAACTCTGCATCAATTGGCCCGCTTAAAACACCCCATCCCCTCAAACTCGCTATGGTTTTAAGCATCGGAACACACATGATCTTTACCACATTGTTAAAATTTTCTTCACTAGACCCTCCTAAAGGGTCAGCAAAGGGGACTAACAACCAAGGAAGTAAAGGGTAACCACCACCCCCGATCAAATACTGGGGTACAGCTACATTATTTATGTACAGCGTCCGCGTGTGCAGTAGAGCTCCTGTTTCGGTATCTTTATACAAGCTTGATGAATTTAGGACGGTTAAATTACTCTTGTTACCGCGAAAACCGGCTGTAATGCTCAGAATTCTGGATGATGCATCAACCACTAATTGAGCAGCTACTGTGTCTTCCAGATGGGAATACTTTAAAACTGAATCAGAGCCTTTGACCTTGAACCTCGCGCAATTAATAATTCCGCAGCAGTTGGGCAATCCACCGAGCTTTTCAAACTGAGTTGACACGGAATAAAGCTCGTTCTCAGCTGGAAACCCGACCCAGAATCGGTAATTGGTGCAGAGAACGCGGCACAAGTGTTTGACGCAGAATTTGGCTATCAATTCCGAGACGCGGAACCGCCGGGAAATTTCCTGGTAACTCGATCCGGTGGCGAGTCGGAAAAGTCCGATTCCCAGTCGGGTCTCAACGGGGAGATTAAGTGGGGACTGAACCGGGTCCCGGCATTCGAGAAGGGGTTCGAGGAGGCCACACAGCCACTCGAAAGTTGAGCAATTCATCTTGAAAGTTTGCTTGTAGGAATCTGGGTTCTTCGGGATGACAGAGTCGGGTGCGGACCCTGACACCGCGTTGGCATGGGTCGGGTCATCGGAGTTTGGAGAATGGGTCCGCTTGCGTTTTCTGGAAAAAGAGGACAAAAGGGAAAAAGTGGCGGAAGTTTCCGAGGTGGAGAGAAAATGGTGGAGGAGAGGGAAAAAGAATTGGTGGGTGGAGGAAAAGGAATTGAGAAGAGAGAAAGGGGTTGAGGAAGGGCAAAAGAGGAGAAGAAGCAAGAGGAGCTGGGAAACCAGAGAAGAAAGTAAAGCAGCCAAAGCACGAGAACGGTTGACGTTGTTGGGCGGGGGCGGCATGGATCTTTTTCGGGTTTCTTTCTTTTTTTTGGCTTTTTGTCGGGAAATGGGTTTTTCGATTTCTGTGCTCCTCTGAGCTCTCTCCGCCTCTGTGTCAGCGAGACGGTTGAAAACTAATAATGGTCAACACCTTTCAAGTACCCCAGCGCCAGGTCACGTTTCTACTCATTTGGAAGTTTCTATTTCGACACGTGAATAAATCCAATCTTTACAACAAAAATACTATAATTTTTTTTTTCTTTTTTTGATCCGTATGGATTAAATATTCAAACGTTACTATAAGTTTGTATATTAAAATCTTTCATTGTATATGTATTAATACTATAATTTTTTTCAAAAAAAAAAATCTTTCATTGTAGATGTATATTGGGGGTGTTTTAAAATTTAAAATTTTATTAAAATATTTTAATTTTTTTATTTCCTACCGCCTTCTCTCCACGTGAATAAATCCAATCTTTACAACAAAAATACTTAAAAAAATTTTTTGATTCGTATGGATTAAATATTTTTGGAAGCATTACTATAAGTTTGTGTTTCAAAATCTTTCATTGTATATGTATTAATATTATAATTTATTTTCAAAAAAAATTTCATTGTAGATGTATATTGTTTACATTTTTTTATTTCCTACCACCTTCTTTTCACTCCCTTCCCTAGTCACAACCAGCAAGCACTAGCACCAATCCTCACGTCCGCTTCCCTCAATCTCCTTCCTCCCTCTTTTTCTTGGACCGGTCATAACCAAATATTTGTCATTGCAATCAAATCTAGCTGCAATTAGCAAAGGGATGAGACCTATAGAGGGAAGGGTAAAGAGGAGAAGAGAGAAAATTATAGGTGGTAGCATAGGCAATGGAGGTGGGGCTAGTGGATGCATTGACTGTAGTTCCTAAGAGAAGAGGAGGCGAAAGTTGGTGGTGCAAAAGTAGGCAAGAGGAGAAAAAAAGGAAAGAGGGGGGCTCGAGATGATGGTAGATAAAAAAATAAGTGGCAAGTTTTTTTTTTGTATTTTTGTTAGATGTTATTTGAAATTGTATTTGGAGTGTTTTTGAATTGTTTTGGGATCCCAATCCAAATGGTTTTGGAGTATCAAAATCACGTAGACAATTACATTTGTGCTTTATTTGTCAATTATTAATATTTTAGCAGTTATATAGAATGCATTGATATGTTTCAACAATTTTAGAAGAAGTTTAAATTTTTTAAGGTTTATCTAATTGGGCAACCGTTGAGATGTATTTTATGTAATACATTTTAAGGGAAAAAAAAAACTAATTAGGGGAAACACTTACACTCCCTCTCCCCTCGACGGGAATACTACATAACCTATTCCTCCCATTTGATTGGATGTGATTTGAGTGTCAACTGTGGAGGAGCCAATCCGCCGAGGCCACGTGTCAGTCCGGACAAACGAGATGTCAGATTGAACGAATCAGTTCGAACTGGTGCGATACCAGTTCGAGCAAGACCGCCGCCGCCCCCCGTTGGTGGGCCAAGTGGAGCGAGGCTCCCTGGTCTTTCAGGGCTGGGTTGGAGGCAAAATCCAAGAAGGAGTCCATCTCTAGTAGGACTCATGATCCTACAAGGAAACAACTATCAAAGATCCTATAAATATAACACAACGAGACAAAACAAGGTACGCGCATCTACAATAGTCAAAACTATTGCTTTACTTGTAATCATAACTAACTTGACCGTCGGAGTCACGACGGGGAGCTAGTCCCGTTGTCCATCTCCTTACAGGTTAGTTCAGATCGCTTCGCTAGTTTCAGTTCGTTTCTCTTCCGTTCGAGCACATCCCTGGTGCTCAGTTCGGATTGTCCACTCAGCCGTCGCATCATCAACCATTGCTTATTAAGTATCTATTAGAAAAAATCGTTTTTACTTTTTAGAGCAATTTATAGCATAAAATGTTTAAAACAACTCTTGCTAAGTTTCATGTTAATGTAGTTTATTTTTCTTAAATTGATTGGAAAATATAGAACACTATATCAGACATAAATCGTGCTTTTGAATTTTCTAATATCTCAATCATGAAAATCGTATATGGCGGTATGCCAAATCGAGCATCTAAATAAAGACGGCACTTTTGTTGCAACCTTCTCTGCTGCAAAAAATATCAGGACGATGTTGGTATGTGAATAGCATTAACAAGAAACAAAACAACAGGGAGCTTATATTTGGGTTTGGTAGAGAAATGCATCTAATAATTTGACGTGGTAGATAGATTTGTGTAATGGAAATCGAGAAGGAAGTTGACATTAATATCGAAAACCACTGGTAAATGAACAAGACATCAAATGATTTTCATTTTATCTGGGAATGGTCAAACACAATTATTAGGTTAACTACCCTTCTGGGGTGAAATGTTAAGGGTTTAAATCTTGTCTCTTATTAATATTGTCACTTAGTGTAACTTTTTTTAGATTTATAATGCATCCATATCATTCGACGGATTCTTTTGGATTATTCCCTAAAATAAGTTAGAGTAGGAATAAAAATATGTGCAAATGACGACAATTAATAAAAAAAAAGAAAATAGAACAGTTACTTTAGCATAAAAAAAGTCAATAATTCAAAACTTATCCTATTAAAATTGTTACTTAGTATGGCTTCTCTTAAATTCATATGGGTGCATAATGCATTCATATGATTCAACGGATTCTGTTGGATAATTCCCTAAAATAAGTTAGAATATGAATAAAAATAGGTGTAAATGATGACAATTGATAAAAAAAAAATAGAACAGTTACTTGAGCATAAAAAGGCGACTGAAGCCGCCGCCCAACTTCGCAAGTTAGCATAGTTTGGTAATTGCTCAAACGAACGGAAACTTGGCCAAAATCCCACGATTGACTGACTGACCGATTGCCTTTGAATTCCAGCCAGCAACCGTTTCGTAGAACTGAAATTGGTTTAATTAATTGAATAAAATTCAGTGGTAATTGAAAAAGAAGAAACAAGTTTAACAAAGGTTGGGCCTGAATGGTCTCAGGTAGGAATTTGGGTGATTATCTGGACTTGACCCATATTATTTAAAGATCCACTTAAGCCGAGCACATGGTGGAACGTTTTGAGGAACCGCTCTAACATCTACCATGCACGCGTAGTAACCGTCCTATTTAATCCCATGGTGGAATGCGTGTACTTGGGCATCAGCCCATATATTCCCAGGCCCACATAGCTTCTTTTCAAAATTATTCAAATCCCCACTGATTTCCCATCCCAAACTATATGACATACTACTATAAGTTATGAACGGAAAAAAAAAAAAAAAAATCTGGTGTGAACTTGAGGTATAGACAAAACAAAGAAAGAAGCAAATGGACTTGTATAGAAAAGTTTAAGGCCATAATGTAATAATATGGACAAAATTAAGGGCCATCCCTTAATTATTTTATAAAGAGGAGGTGAATGCAAATATGATAAACCTCAAGGAGGTCAGGCCACTTTTCTTTTTCCTTTAATTTTTTTTTAGAACTACTTTAAATACAAGCTCAATAGATAACGAGTGATGAGTTAGAATGTACCAAATCCAGGAAAAGTTAAAAAGAGTTGCTAAAAACGCATTAGATTTGGTCATCCTGCACAATGGTTGACCTGTCCGTAGCTGTATCACTTGGAATCGGTAACGCCTATGGTTCTGAGGACTACACAAAATCAACAGTAGTAGGAGTGCAGTACAGGTACATTTCTTCTGCTCCATTAATTAAAGTCGTCCCCGTTGAACAGATCGAGTTAACTCTACGTATAACTTATTAGGGTGTTGGGTAGGGATGTGCTTATTGGCTATTGCTTAGTCCAGTCACTTTCTCACCAGCGTCCTGCAGGACAATGTACCTTAATCTGGGACAAGTCTCTCTATTTTGCCCACTAACACCAAGGCTGGACCTACAGTAGGTGGTTCAATCCCTCTTAGCCTCTTCGGATCCCCCTCGCTTATAATATAGAATAAAATATGATAAATGTAGGATTTACCGTTGCAGGCAAAAAAAAAAAAAAAAAAAACCAGATAATGTCCTTTACGTTGTTGGCCATCACTAAAGATTTTAAAAATTAATGAGATGGAAGAAGGTCAAGAATTCAAATATTACTTCCCATCAATGTGTCACTATATGTGATTTTTTAAAAATCTATACGAGTCCGTTATGGCCTCTCACCTCCTCCCTAGTATAGGTTGAAATAAGAGTAGAAGTAAACTAGGTTAACTGTTACCCTGTAATAAAAAAAAAAAAAAACCCAAACCGTGTTTGGGGGGCTCAATTCTTTCTTACCACTTTATTATATGTTTCAATCGGTTTGTTTTAGATTTAATCCTGTTAAAGAATTACCGAGCTATTGTGCCTCTACATGTAACATGTTATGTTTTTTATGCTTTTTTTAACTTAAAAGTTTTTTCAAGGTTTTTAAAATTTTCAACGTGTAATAATTAACATCATCAAGTAAAATGAATCTCAATTAGAATTCTAACTTTTTACAAGAGTCACGAGTCATATACACAAGTCTAATGAATATTAAGTAGGAGATAAACATCTTGAACCTAACTATTTCGTGCGTTATTCAATTATACTTTGCGAAATTTTGGAACTTTTCCTCCGAGATTCATAGCATGAGAAAGAGAGAACACCGGATCCTCAACTTCTGCTATTGGCAAAACATTGAAGTCACCAATTTCGAGCTCAAATACTTTTGACTTTTGCCTATATATAATAGTCACACGCAGTCTTGCGAGTGATATGGTGTCAATAGGTGTTTTTTGTGCCATAGGAATTATTTCATCTCTAAACAAACCCTTCCAGCGGCAGCGCCTCTTACCAGTGACCCTTGAGGTCACAAGTTCGAGTCTCCGCTACGCTGGATTCCTCCGAGCACTTAATGTGTTTGGGCCGGGTTGGGCCGCCGGGTCCGGGCCGCAGAGGATTAGTCGGGTCCCGTAAGAATTGATCCGGACACCCCTGTGTGTCGACAAAAAAAAAAAAAAAAAAAAAACCCTTCCAAATTCAGTTGATGCTAACCCTCTAGTGTCACATTTTATTTTAACTCTCATCTTGATGAGAAAATGTGTGTGGACATAGAAGCGCACATGTTAATATTAATATATTAGGAGACAATACTCACGCTATCCTATGAATGTGCACACTAAACTGGTGCGAAATACATCATTACTTGCAATATTCTTTCTATGAATTTTAAAACAACATTATAGATAAAACTTTCTAGTGGTTTTATTTCTATTTTAGGTTTGGATTAATTTCTACTATCGTAATTTAATTTGTTTTCAAGAATTAAACATTGAACAATATTACATAATTATTATTTTTTTTATAAAAAATTGTAAGCAATTCCCAAGGGGTATATGTGTGATATAGTCTTCCAAATTATTAGTGACGTCGTATTTAGTATTGAACTTTATTCATAAAAACTTATGACCCTGTTATTCTAAAATGACAATAATACGAGAAGAAATGAAGCTATTTTTGTTAGCTTACAAAACTGCTAATCATCAATCCATATCCATGTAATCACTTTTCATCTTCCATAGAAAAAAAGACATTATTGTAAGCTAAAATTTCTAAAAATTGAATGGCTAGACATATAAGTTTTATCAATAGGGCACAAATTTAGATATTTATCATTCCACAAGTCATTATATAATTTTTTTTTTGCAAGATGTATTTGTCATACACTTTGAGCAAAAATTTAGACACTAAAAAAATAAAGAATGGATCTAATTGTTAATATTGTTTCCAATTTATTAAAATTTTGATTTTAAAACCTAAACTAATTATAATGGGCCAAATTTCACTAATTACGTTGACGAAGTTTCCTTAAAATCCTATTTCCAAATTAGAGACGGAAAAGAAAAAAGAAAAAGAAAAGGAAAGAGAAACCAGAAGCTGATAAGCCAAACATGTCCTTGGCAGAAACGAGTTTATCACCGCTTAATCTGTCATCACACAGACAAAAAGGCCCCCTTCTCCTCTTGCGGACACATAATAATCGTAGTCTCTCTCCTACATCCACATCTCTCTCACGAGTTCTCACCCAAGGTTCGGCTGATTGTCTCCTCTGTTCTCTGCTCTTTTTCTTGGTTCTCTCGTATTTGAAACCGTCATCTGCATATATGCAAATATCATAGATAAAGATGGGGAGGAAAAATAAAATAAAATAAAATAAAATGGAGCTTTGAGTAGAACCCATCATAAAGCGCCTCTTCAGTCTCTCTACCCACTGAATTTTTTTTTTCAATTCCCACACCAAATTTAAGATCGCGGATCCTTTTTCTCACAGGTTTTTTCTCGTAACGCATATGTTCTTTTTGTTTTTGTTGCACTTTTCTATTTTAGTATCGTTTTAATTGTTATTTCCTTTAGATCTTTTTCCAGGTTCAGTTGTGAATAATTGCTGGATTCATAGTGGGATTTTATTTGCCAGATATTGAAATTTCGAAATTCTGCTTATTTTTACAATCTCACTTCTCTTGGATTTTATTTTACTTTTTCCCGTTAATTGATGTATAGTTTGTGTATTTTCGTGGCTGTGCTTGTGGGATATCCAAGGCTTGACTTTTCTGGGTCGTCTCGAAAATCAAGTGGTCAAAGAAAATGGCTGTTGGTGAGATATTACCAAAGATTATCTCTGTTGATGTATTTTTTGAGTAAATAGAGCTTGCTTATCTTTTTTTATGAGCTATATAGGGGAAAAAAATGCTTGATGTGCATGCATTTATGTCTTCTTGCATTGGTCATTCAAGGTGAAAAAAACACTGAAGTTTTTAAATTGAAGTACAAAAAAAATGAAAGTGAAAGATCGATGCACACTTTTCTAATTCCATTAACATTGCACTCGAACGAAAAACCAATAAAAAGAAGGTAGAAACAGCTGACAACCGTGAGTTAGTTTTCTGGTTTTCTATCTACGATTTGGTCTGAATTTCTTGCCAAAATCTCGTTGTCTATGTGAATTTGATGGTCTTAATATGTCTGGGAAAAAAGCTACTGTCTTGGTTCCCTTTTCTTGCTTTATTTGTCAGTTCATTTAGGTCTTGTTGTAGCTATTGTGTGTTGGACTTTCTAAATTGAGCACTACGCACAGAAAGCATGAAATTGTTTTGGAATGTACTCTGAAATTAAAAAAAAAAAGTGGTTTGAAGCTATGTGTCATTAAGCATGGCCTGGTTCCAAAATCTCATATGATATTCATTTGTTTCCATATGCTCCATATCACGATGAGTCAAGATCTGTTGAGATGTATGTTCATGTCACGTTTCTGGTGAAGTTGTTAATGTTTGTGTTGTAAAGCTGCAAAGTTCGTTAGCACCTGGTGCTAGAACACTTCTGAATTCTTAACTTGAAAATGCCTTTTGTCTTAATATCTTTGCCTGCTTCCTGCTTTTTGTACCTTAAACTCATATAAAACTAGCAATGCTATTTTGGTTTTCTCTTTTTTAGAAGAAAACCGTTTCTTTCTTAATTTGAAAGTTTCCTATCTGGTTTTCTGCAATCAGATTATCCTTATTTGATTTTTTCCATGTATAGGTGTGTGAAACTTAGAGCTGCCTGAATTCTGTTGCAGCTTGGCTTTGTTATATTCTGGAGCCATTGTTCTTTTGAGAAGTTTCTGATATGCAGGGGGAAAGGAGTATCTTGGAACCCTTTCCTGAAACCATTGATCTTAACCAGGTATCTGGTTCCAATAATGCTTCTACGGATAGGCCAGTTGCTTGGAATAATGTTCTAAATCCAGCGGAAAGCCGGTTGTCCAGTTATGTTCTTTCTTCAGGGCATGGGAGCCCTAATTTTTTAAATCCTGCAAGCCACAATGGTCGGACATTTGGTGGCTGGGATCCTGGTGAGTCGAGTTCCAGTGCTAATATGCAAAGCCAGTTGAATGGTCATGATTTAAAGGTAGGACAAGGTTGGTCTCCTTCAATAAATACTTGTGTGGGACCTGATGGAAGATCAGCAGACTGGCAATTTGAACAACCTAATGTTCTTCATGAAAGTAGTACAAATAGCTATCGTGGCAATTATTTTCACAGACCTCTGAGTATAAACAACTCTGTGTCTACTCGTACTTCTCCGAATGCTACTGTAAGTGGGGGCTATCGAAGTAGTAGTCATGATAGCTGGCAAGGTAGAGGATCAGGCATATCTCCAAGTTTCTACAGGTCTGGCATGTCAGAGATAGACCAGTTTGCTACTTTTGATGCTGGTTCTAATGATGTTGGGACTTCTTCTGGTAATTCTGGCTATCTAGTTCAGCATGATGATGGCTCGGGTTCTTCTTCTAGTTCCTGGGGTTTGTCCTGCAAGCGAAAGGTCCTTGAAGGTAATCCTGGTCAATCTGGTTCAAGTGGAAGTTTGAGCATGGAGCCACAAGATGAAACTATTGGAAGGCACAACATTCCTGCTCATCATAATGCTTCTAGCAGCTTAGCTGTGTCTGCAACATCTACAAACTCACCTAGCGCTAACAATCAGGGACAGGTAAATGCAAGAATTGTGTCTGGGATGAGAGGAATGACTTACGATAGATTTCCTCCAAGGGTTACTGACATTGCAGAAAGCTCACAAAGAAATTTCAGTTTCGGAGTGGATCTTGGACATCAGGAACCAGCCCCATTTGACTTATCTGCTGCAGCGTCTGATGTTAGGCATTCTAATGCTCACTCTACGAACCACCAATCAAGACTTATCTCAGCAACTGAATCGCCTGAACTGAGAACTCCGTTTTCTCGTCCACTGAATTTAAACAGTAACCCAAGTCAGTCTCCTTTCATGCATGTGCATGGTTTGGCAAGAAATATGCTTCCGATTTCTTGGAGTGGATCTCTTAACTCAAGAGGTGGTGCTTCATCCAGTCCTATTTTGTTTTCAGGGGAAAGAGGTGCTGCAGTAAGGGATGAAGCCAATTTCAGAGGCTCGCTAAGCAACAACCCAGAGCATCCTAGTTTTGTTGCTGCTCGTGAGAGCAGGCACATGGTACAAGAACCAACAGCTTGGAGTTTTTCACCTGGAAATACTGGCTCTTCAAGAAATGTTCCTTCTAGTTCTCGATATACTCCTAATTCTGGTACAGGACCTCTCCCAACTGTCTGGATGCCTCATCAAAATGTAGCAGCACATAATCAGCAGAGGTTGTCCGAATTCCCTCCATGGACCCTCTTCCCATCTGTTGAACCTGATCCTGGAGGCCAGAGAGGCAATTTTTCATTCTTGCCTTCAGCCTCTTCTTCCTCAGAGGAGGCTGTGATGGCATCTGGATCTAGTAGTGGGGACCATAATCAGCCATATTCTAGGTCATTGTTGATGGAGGTTTCCAGCGAGGACATTAATGGTTGGCGTGCTTTAGCTGCTGGCATTGAGGGGAGGCACAGGATCGTGTCTGAGGTTTGCCTTCTTTTATTCTTCTATTCATGTTTGGCACATCCAAGATCTGTGCATTGCATTATCATTTCATTGTGAATTGAGTATGTGTGATTGAATATTGGAGGGTCTTATTTTATGTTGTAAAGTACATTTAGAGTATTTGTTCTTTTATAGTTTTACACCTAAGCGCTTCTTGTTTATGCTCCTGTGTATGGATTTATATGCAAACAGTTTGAATGTTTTTGATGTCATTCCTTTTTTTTTTTTTAATTGAGGACGGTAGAGGGAGCCTAATAGAAGGTGCTACACGTAGTTTGATAGAGTTATGAGTAAGCTTTGCCAAAGGATAAAGTGTATTGGCTGACATTGATCCTCCTAGCTGCAACCAAATCAAACACGATCACTCTGGCAAACCGGGGTTTGGGGAGAGGGGAAAGCCTTAAAAGAAATGGGTTATACAAGATAGCATTCTTCAGGCCCGGTTTAATCTGTGAAAGATACATCCCACAAGCAAGAAAAGAATGCCCCTACTTGTGCTTAGGAGCTCTTAGCATTCTTATTTTATCAATTCATGACCTACGTTGCAATTTTCCACTGTTCTTTATACTTGTCTTGCTTGAAAAATGTGGTAGCTGTTCATGTTGGTCCGATGAGGTACACAGTAGATAAAAGAGTTGGTAAAACTATTTTTTTTTTAAAAAAAGTTTTGAAGGAATATTAAGCAGTTCATTTAGGTTGGTCTCACATTTTTTTAAGTCATAGCCTTCTGCCAGTAGTCTGGTACTGTTTTTTAGGGGTAATCTATATTGATACTTTCGCTGGATTTTGTGATGGATATTTAGCTTGATATTTTTCAGACTTAAGGAAAATTATTATCAAGCGACTCATTCTGTAGCATGATGTAATGGTGTTCCATGGTTGGGAAAATTGTTTAAGTGACTCATTTGTTGCATGAGATCATAGTGTTCCATGATTGGGTTGGGTATAAATCGCTACATTCTTCTTTTTGATTTCTTATTCTTGTCTTTCTATTGGGTGATGGTTAGATTGGAGAACCCTACAAATTCTCCATTAACAGTGTATTATCTCTCTAGCACATAGAGATTGTGGCACATTGTGCATCTTGTGGATCACAAGGTTGATGATCGTGACTTCCCATTTTTAACTTCTGTAGATTTAATAATTTTTTTTCATATTTGTAGATCTTTTATTTGCATTTGATTTTGATGCATTATACCCCTTGAATGTGCTTAAATTGGTAAAAGGAGGACCTGGATTTATGTTTACCTTAGCATAGCAATTTTTTTTCTTCCGCTTGCTTCTATTTCTATATTGATTGAAATTAGTGGAGAATACATCTCTTAGGAGTTCGAGGGCATGGGAAAGCCGGAAAAAGGGAGAAATATTTATCCTTTCACTTATTGCATTGGATTATTTTTTTTGAAATTTTTATAGAAAAATATACTGTATCGATCTTATATAGAAATTAAATCCTTTCACTTATTGCATTGGATTATTTTTTTCTGAAATTTTTATAGAAAATCTATTGTATCGATCTGATATACGTAAGATGAAAAGGATATTAAAAATGTGTTTACGAAAGATGTAAAATTTTTTACTTAGAAAACAGCAATCCAAACAAGGATTCCAACCAAATGTCTTATAAATTGTTGGTGTGGTTTTTTTTATGCTTAAACAACCAGAACTAGGGGAAAACATGCCAATAACGCTCAGGGACTCGAGAGACGTTGGTGGGGTTGCTGCTCAGCTCAGTCTTAACCAAGTCTAAAACAAGTCAAAAGTTGCACCACTGCTATTGACACCTCTCAGGGTTCTGAAGACTTGAGTGCCTTTGCCAATTTGCATTGCAATATTTTTGGAGCAATCCAAGGAGTGTTGTTGTATTTGTCCAAATATGTGCTAAACACGTCACTGCTCACATCGCATTCAATCACTCTTCCTCAGCAGCACCATTCTTCATCCTCCAAGTCTTTTGGGTCCACTCCCAGTTTCCAGTTTTCGACACTATGGCATTACACGGGCTGGTCATCTTTCTCGGTCTGCTGCTTTTTCTTGAAATGCCGTGTTCTTTAACAATGGTCAATTCTGGTAAGTGTTAAGTGCTAATCCATTTCTCCAATCTTCACTCTTTCCTTTGTGGGTATGTCACTGATCTCATTTCCTTGGAGAACTTTCTTCGGTTTATTTTTACTCAAAAGAGCGTTTTCTGTACTAGTGTTTTGGTCTTGTGGGGCAAAATTTTGTTAGTAGTTTGTTCCTCTGTTTCTCTCTGCTTTGCTCTTGTATGCTGCTTAGCTGGGCCTTCTTTGGTCTTTTATGGGTTAGATTGACAGACTTTCTATTTGGGAGCTACTGTGAACTTTAAATTATAGCAAGCTGTCAATTTTTTATCTTGCGAATTTGTGTTTTGGAATTTGTGGTAATTAGTGTTTTCTGTTTCTGTTCTCATTCGTTTATGGTGAGCCACAGTCCTCAATACATTGAAGAGGGTGGCTTGAACTTGGCCGCGTTTCCAAAAAAAAAAATCTGTTTGTCCTTGTCAAAGGTGAAACAGTAATGGTGTTCTGCATGTTTGGTCAGGTAGTTAGCTGGAGGGTTTTTGGGTGAATTTATAGCTCTAATACTAAGAGTAAGCTGAAACTTTGGCCCATTTTGTCATTTTAGAAAATGACTCTTTTGTATTCTGTATCTTGTCTCCGTTAAGACTTTAGGTTTCTTTTATTTGGATTAGCACTGTGGTTGTATATTTGATCGACTTTGCAATGCTGTGAACTAAAAACATTATGCTGATGCTTAATTCCTGGAAAGCCTGGTATTTGAGATGAATTTTTCTTCTTAAAATGCCATTTTGGTAAGAAAGAAGCCTTCAAAATTTTCTTTAACATACTATGTTTCCAACTTGGAAAAAGATGGCCTTGGATAAAGGACGTTGGATTTTCCATTACTGGATCCTGATAAATCTCTTTGGCTGGAGCCTGCCAACCAAACATCTTCAAGAAAAATGAGCAGTTTAGGAACATCAAAGGTAGCTCCCTAGTTGATTAGGAGAAGGTCAGGGCATTTTCAATCCTCTAGGAGAGAGGAAGGTAGGAGTTTCTGATGGAAGCACTCTGCATCAATGACCTTTTTGACAGTTAAGAATTATGTTAAAGATATAATATTTTTGGGATTTTATTTTGACTTGCTATACTTCTTCTAGACCTCATCTGATTCCAAAATTGGTTCTGGTTGTTGCTCTAATTATGTTCCCCAGTCAATACAATCAGGAACCTGAATCTTAAAAGTTGAGACAACTTCTGACAAAATTTTGATTTGCAAGAATTCATATAGTCCTTTGTCCTGATATTTTTGCAGATTGCCCATTAGATCTAAGTCAGTCTAACTTTACACCGGCAGCCTCAATTTGCTCCACCAAGGAAGAAAGAGGGAACTGTTGCCGCTACATTAATGCCTTAATTGCTGTTTCTGTTGCTCGATATGCAAATCTGACAAGTAATCTAGGGGTTAGTCTGGACTCAGTTGAGATCTGCCTCCGTACAATATCAGCAACATTGGATTTGTATGGAGTAACAAGAAATGCAACTGTCTTTTGTGGCTTTGGGACTAAAATTCCTGTTAATTATGATTGCCAAGGTCGAACAACTGTTAATCAGATGCTACAATCTCCAAAGTTTACAGATGTTGAAGAAAATTGCAGAGTGCCATTGAGATTGGAAAGTGACTGCAGGAAGTGTTTAAATTCTGGCATTCTGTATCTTCGAAATCTTATTGGTCTGGCAGCAGATAATATGACCTTGAGCACTTGCAGGGATGCAACCTTTGTGGCTCTTGCAAGCAAGTTGATAATGTGACAAGTATTAATATTGCAAGCTGTTTTTTTGGGGTCCAAGGAATTCTTATCCCTCCAGGTATGGGCCAATTATAAATTATGTAGTTGTCTATACTGTATATAATGAAAACTTATTCCATCTTATTTTCTTATTATTGATTTTCAAAACTGTCTCTTTGTGTCAAGAATTCTGTAACAATGAGTTGAATGGAGAGTTTCCATATCTGATGGTTTTTGGGTTGCTGATGGTGCTATTGGCATAACCTATATTTCAATATCTGCATCTCGTTCAATAATGGTTTCTAATGTTCAACCTGTAAGGCTTTTTGGTGTCTAATTTACTTATAGCAGTGGCAGATGGTGTGCAATGTTTAAACATTGTTTTTGTTTGGAGGTGTATCTGAGGTGATTTTACTCCAGACAGATTGCCCTTTCTTGGAATACGGAAGAGCAAATGGAGTTAAAGCCACATTTCTTGACATAGGATTTCTATGCAAATGACAATATTGTTTTTTCTCATTAAGAGCATGTTTGGTATTGCGAAAATCCAACTATATGCTAATCCTCCTCCTTTCAGCAGCTAAACCTTTCCTTCCCCACTTTTACCTTTGGAATTTGTCATGAGATGATGCAATTCACCATGCTTCCATTTTCGCCACCATGTCCAGTCTATTTCTTCAAATTTGCTTTCATTTTTCAGAATATTCTTCAGATCGTTGAAAATAACCTCCACCTGGATCATTGTGGCATATAATTAATCTAGACTTGTTAATCTCAGATGTATAAGTTGCCAGTTGAATGTGAATTTTGTAGTCTGAATTATTTGTCTGAGATTTGTGTTGCTTCATCATCATCTAGATTCCATTAATTCACTAAGTTATTCTGAATCACGAAATACTTTCTAAATGCTGGATTAAGTTATTCTTAATCACTGAAATACTTTCTAAATGCTGGATATCTATTCCTATTAATTACATTGCATATTCATTGAAGATCACATGTTGTACTTTCAATTTACATTTGATGCAAAATCAAATTTGGTTTCTATTGCATTTTGGATTTTCAGTGTTGTCTCCTTTGCTGTCTCCGCAAACCTCACCAAGTCCACCTGTTCCTGCTAGCAGCCCAAGTCAGCTTTCCTTGAGTGCACCCCTTAAGGACAAAGGCCACCCCTACCACCTGACATTGGTCCCAGGTATTGGCATTGCCATTACCGTAATGGCCTTGGTGATGCTAGCTGTCTTAATCTTTCTTATCCGTACAAAAAACGAAGAGCTAGACTCTTCTGATACATTTGATAGGACCTGTCCAAAAGTTTTTCACCATCCTACAAGGAAGCTTCAGGAAGGTACATTTATCATTTTTTCCTTTGCATATTCTCCAAAATGTGGCATAAGAAGGTGTAATTTCAGCTTCCCGGGTTTTTGCCTCTTTTGTTGGATGGGCTGAACTATATGCAGGTCCTCCCTGTACATTCAGAAAATTCAGCTACAAGGATACAAAGAAGGCAACAAATTATTTTAGCACCAAAATTGGGGAAGGAGGATTTGGCACAGTGTACAAAGCTGAGTTTGAGGGTGGTCTTGTGGCAGCAGTAAAAAGGATGAATAAAATCTCAGAACAAGCAGAGGATGAGTTCTGCAGAGAAATAGAGCTCCTTGCTCGGCTACATCATCGTCATCTTGTTGCTTTGAAAGGCTTCTTCTGCATTGAGAAACAAGAGAGGTTTACTCATTCACGTAAATATGTATACGTGTTCCCTATCTTTCCCTTTTGTCTCTTGAATTTTATGGTCATAAGGACATGTTTATGGTTTTAGTTTTTAGGCTGTAGTTGAGTCAGATGTGCCAGCTTACCTGGAAGTCCATGAACTTTATGCAGGTTTCTTGTATATGAATATATGGCAAACGGAAGCTTGAAAGATCATCTTCACTGTATGGCCTTATTTCCTGAAAATGTATTTTGCTGAAGTTTAATCGTTAAGCGAGAAAGGAAACACCATCTTGAGAGTTTGATCAATGTTAACTGAAAACATAAACCTAATTGAGCTATTCCTCATTTGTTGTCCATTCTGAATTTGTTGTGTTCAGGTCCTGATAAAACTCCCCTTAGCTGGCGTTCAAGAATTCAGATTGCCATTGATGTTGCAAATGCTTTGGTAATTTCTATCAAGTGCTGATATAGTGAACAAGTCAATTAAGTTACTAGAAGTTTTAAGAGCGTTTATTTTTGACATATTTTCTGTTCAAAGCTTATGGTTCCATCTCTGCTTGCAGGATTACCTTCACTTCTATTGTGATCCCCCTCTGTGCCACAGGGACATCAAGTCAAGCAATATATTACTTGACGAGAACTTTGTGGCAAAGGTAAATATGTGAGCTCAGTCTCTGGTTCTATGTTTAGTTTGTTACGTTTTAAAGGCTGCCGAAGTTCAATGCCGAATTTTTCATTTTCAGAAAAGAAATTATCCTTTCTGCTGTCTGTCTCTCTCAAGTCCTTGTTCTTTGGGCCCAAAATCTTTTCCTTCAGATTTACATCTTTTATTGTGCA